GAGACAAGCAGATCAGAAATTGGTGGGATACCATCTGGGGGTTTTAGAGCCAGGAGGGTGTATTTTTTCCCATCCCGGGCTTTTTTTTTTTAAAAAATATATTTTTTATTGATTTTTTTACAGAGAGGAAGGGAGAGGGATAGAGAGTTAGAAACATCGATGAGAGAGAAACATCAATCAACTGCCTCCTGCACACTCCCCACTGGGTATGTGCCCGCAACCAAGGTACATGCCCTTGACCGGAATCGAACCCAGGACCCTTGAGTCCGCAGGCCGACGCTCTATCCACTGAGCCAAACCAGTTAGGGCCATCCCAGGCTTTTGACGACTTGCTCAGGGCCCCTATGTGATAGGTGGTGGGGCTGGGACTAGCCAGGTTGTCAGGCCCTTTGGCGGCTCTGCCAAAATTTGGGCCTCTGGTGAAGGCTGTTAGCGTGTGCGTGTGCGTGTGAGTGTGCGTGTGTGTGTGTGTGTGTGTGTCCTCATTAGGCCAGGATGGCAGCCTTTTGTTTGTGCAACGGCCGGCCACCCAGCGGAAAGAGCTCTCCTGGTGACAGTGGGCGTGGAGGCTCAGGTGGTGGTGCTGGCCCCGCCCTGGCCCAGGCTGGCCTCTCTGCTCCCCAGGTCCAGGAGGGCCTTGTGCTTCAAGGACGAAGACGAAGCCGGGGTGGAGTGGAGCAGCCCAGGGCCTCCTCAGCCCTGGCCACTCCCGTTCCCCCCCCCAACCCCCCGGGGCACTTTGCACATTCAAAAGCTGTTTTGGAAGCAGCAGCACATCTGAGTCTCTTTAATGCACGTCCCAGAGGGCACAGATGTGCATCAGTGAAAGGATGTTCTCTGAACCAAAGTGCTTCTGTGGGCCTCACGATCCCCTCTCCCTGGGCACTCACTCCCGGCCAAGAGCCTCCGATTAATCATGCCTCAGTTCCTGTGGCTGCTGCTCGCAGAGGTGGCCGCCCTGGCTGAGAGAGAGGGTAGGTGTGTGAGTGTGGGAGGCAGAGGGTCGGGGCCTCCAGCGGGGAGTGGAGACAGGGAGCGGGAGGAAGCCGACCCAGGGATGGGGAGAAGGATGTGGGCTCCTGGGGGAAGCTGGCCTGCCCAGAGCCCTGCCTCAGTTCACGTGGCCACGGGCCTCTGGCTACCGCCCCTCCTGCACACGTGGTCCCTACGTGACAGACTATCCTGATCGCAGGATTTGGCACCCGAAACAGTCCCATATGGAGCCTGGCGGACACGGGGGCGGGGGGAGGGGAGGGTGTGCTGGGGAGGGAGCGGATAGATAGGAAACAAAGCTCAGGGTGTGTGGGGGAATCTTCGCAGGTGAGGAGACCACAGACACCCGGACTAATGAGAGATGCGGGGCATATGGCAGCTCCCAGACCCGGAGGATCACACAAAGCTCGTTAAAACCTGCGAAGATGGAAACGAGGCCCCCGAACGCCGGTCCCTAAAAATGTGCAGTCAGACAGCCGGACGACGGAGGGAAGACATCCGATGTTTCTGTCGTTTGCAAAAATACATTATTTTGATTTTGAGGGGGAGGCACAGAAATTCGTGATTCAACTTTTAAAGCAATTTTCAAAGTTTTTTCTTTTAAGCTTAAAAATGTCCCTGGAAAGGAACATGAAGACATGTGTGATTTGAAAATGAAAGTCTTTCCCTTCAATGAAATGAAGGAAACACTTGGATATTCCCTGCAGTGGTGGTCCCCGTGGGCGGGGCCGAGGGGGCGGGGGCAGAGGTTAGATCCACTGGCCACTACACCGAAGGTTCGTGTGCTGGTAACTTCCAGCTTCTTCTTCTTCTTCTTCTTTTTTTTTTTCTTAAATATATTTTATTGATTTTTTACAGAGAGGAAGGGAGAGAGATAGAGAGTTAGAAACATCGATGAGAGAGAAACATCGATCAGCTGCCTCCTGCACATCTCCTACTGGGGATATGCCCACAACCCAGGTACATGCCCTTGACCAGAATTGAACCTGGGACCTTTCAGTCCACAGGCCGACGCTCCATCCACTGAGCCAAACCGGTTTCGGCCCAGCTTCTTCTTTTTTTATTTTCATTGATTTCAGAAAGGAAGGGAGAGGGTGAGGGAGATAGAAACATCAATGATGAGAAAAAAAAATAATTGCTTGATCATCACTTGGCTGCCTCCTGCACACACACTGGGGATCGAGCCCACAACCCAGGCATGTGCCCTGACAAGGAATCAAACCATGACCTCCGGGTTCATAGGTCAGTGCTCAACCACTGAGCCACGCTGGCCGGGCTTTCCAGCTTCTTTCTCTGGTTCCTGTCAACTCGCCTCCTGGGCAGTGCCCCCACAGAGCCGGTGAGCCAGAAGGCACTCCCCACCCCCGTGCCTACTGGAGGCGTGAGATTCCAGGGAAACTAACAGGATCAGATCTAACAAGGGGGTTTGTGAGCTCAGACAATCTGAGGGTTTCCCTTTGGGAAAAAGAATCCACAAAGACAATATAAACTTGGGTATGAAAATGAGCGTTTGTTTGGAATGAGAAAGGAAATCACCACACAGCACTGGAGCCCTGGGAATTCAGGCCCTGTTCTTCCTCCCTCTTCAGGCAGCCTACCAGACATGTTTGCCAACCCCAGCCTGGCTTCTCTCCCCTCCTAGCATGCTCTCTGGCTCCCAGCATCTCCCAGCTCTCTCAGGAGCCCAAGCAAAGGAGGCTTCCTTAGCTTTAGCAAGAATCTGCCCAGGGAATGAGGCTGCCCAGAGAAGTCCCACGTCCGCCCCGGCCTGCGATTTACCTCTGGCCGGACCCAGGGCCTGTGAGTGAGGCAGAGGCTGGATTTGGAAAGACCAGCACTCCTGGGCACAGGGATTGGGGCAGTTGCCTGGAGGCAGCTTGACGGGGGTTTGCAATGTGAGTGGATGAAATCTGGCCAATTGCGTCTGAGATAGGTCACATAGATAGGAGGGAGCTGGCAAGCCAGGGCCTGGTGGCAGTTGTGGGCAGAGCCATCCAGCTGGGGCCATGCTGGCAGCGTCTTGGCTAAGACATGGAGGTTGTCTTGCCAGGGCTAATCGCTGGCAGGGGGGAGGGAGCCTGGGGTCCCCCAGGCCCAGAGCTCCTACCCCAGTTTACCCCACTCAGTTTGTTTTGATTCTGGGCGAATTGGGACATCACAGTCATTTTCTAGGAGGCCTACCCGCTGAACAAGGAAGTGTAGTTGGCCTGCAAGAATGTCCACATAAAAAAAAAAAAAAAAAAGCCCAGCTGGTGTGGCTCAGTGGTTGAGCATTGACCCATGAACCAGGAGGTCACGGTTTGGTTCGATTTCCTGTCAGAGCACATGCCTGGGTTGCAGGCTCAATCCCCAGTAGGAGGCGTGTAGGAGGCAGCCAATCAATGATTCTCTGCCATCATTGACGACGTTTCTATCCCTCTCCCTTCTCACTCTGAAATCAATAAACACACACACATATATAAGGTTGTCCACCCAGAGTGAGCAGCCAGTGGTCATGTGGACCATCTGAAGGACAGAGGGTCCTGGCCTGTCGACCGGCACCCCCAGTGGCTGTATCTCACAGGGCAGATAACTCAGTTGGCATTGTGGTTTTTATCTGTCTCTTTTTTTTGAACTCGGTCCCTGTCAGTTCACCCCCAAGAGAGATGGAGCCACTTCACTGTGCCCACAAAATCAATGTCTGGTGCGGCGCCAGGGCGGTAGCTATCACCCTAATGAATGAAAACTAGATTTCTGAGCGTGCCGGGGGCGGGCTGGGCCCAGACAGCGATGAGTCCCCAGGAAACGCTCGCTCTGCACGGCCGTCTTCTCCCCGTGTCTCTCCCCGTGTCTCTCTTCGTGGTGCCCTCTGTGTCCCCATTTCCCCCAGCAAGACACAGGCCCTGCCGGATTAGGGCCGCACGGGTGACCTCTTAGCTGATTACATCTGCGAGGACCCCATTCCCAAGCACGAGCACATTCTGAGGCGGGGGAATTAGGGCTTCAACGTGTGACATGGGTGCACAATTCAACCCACATCACTTGGATATGCTGTCCACCCCGCTCCCCTCACCCCCATGTTCTTTCCCTTGTTTCTTTTTCTGCAGAACTCAGTCGTCCAGGAAGATGTAGACAAGGCGGGTGACCTTGGCTGGCCCTGCCCCAAGCCTTCCTCATCCTCCCTTCACTCCCCCCACCTGTGGACCTTCCTTCCCCTCCACTTCTGTGACCCCACCCCTCCCCAACCCTCCCCGCTCCCCACAGAGCCCCGCCCCATTATGTGGGCCCCGCCCCAACCTCGCTCCACTTGGAGTCCTGGGTCTGGGATCCCTGTGCCCGCCCCGAGGCACCTCAGGTCTCTCTCTAATTTGGGTCACCATCTTCCTTCTCCTTCTGATCTTGTGTGTTTCCAGAATTAATGAGACTAAAATTACTTTTCAGAACTTTTGTCGGATTCCGGGACGTCCCCTTGCAGTGGTTCTCAACCTTCCTAATGCCGTGACCCTTTAATACAGTTCCTCATGTTGTGGTGACCCCCAATTTCATTGTTACAAATTGAACATAATTAAAGCATAGTGATTAATCACAACAACAATATGTAATTATATATGTGTTTTCCGATGGTCTTAGGCGACCCCTGTGAAAGGGTCGTTCGACTCCCAAAGGGGTCGCAGCCCACAGGTTGAGAACCGCCATAATTTACAAAGCTCATCCACCGCCACCATCTGGTTTGATCCTTAGTCAAAACAAAAAGCAAAACTAACCCCGCACTGGCATGTTTTCTATCCCCATTTTAAAGACTGAGAAACTGAGGCCCAGTGAGGGAGGCAAGCTGAAATCAGGTTTGTCTTTTGAAAAATTTTTATTTTTATTGATTTCAGAGAGGAAAGGAGAGGGAGTGAGAAAGATCAATGATGAGAAAGAATCATTGATCTGCTGCCTCCTGCACGCCCCACACTGGGGAATCAAGCCTGAAACCTAGACATGTGCTCTGACTGGGAATTGAACTGTGACCTCCTGGTTCATAGGTCGGCATTTAACCACTGACCCACACCGGCCAGGCCAGGTCTGTCTCTTTGGAACAAGGAGATGAGAAGCAGAAGAGGGGAGGCGACCTGAGGCTGGACAGAGGGCTGGCATCCTGCACCGGAACCGCAGGAAGACGGGGGCCACACCTGCCGGCTCCACCTAGTCCAAGCTCAGCACCTCCACTTGGCCCAGAACAGCTGCCTGGCCTGGATGGGCCCACCAGCCTCCCCTCTGCTCCCCGGAGCCTCCGGGACCCCAGAGCCCCGGCTGAACTGGCCGAGAAGGAACTTTCCACACTGAGGTTTCCGTGACCGGAAAAGGCAAGTTCAATAACGCGATCAACACCGCCGGCTGACCAGACCCAGAGAGCGGCTGTCTCACGGAAACCATAACGGAGATGACGGATGCCTTGCTCCTATCGGGCTGGCATGCTTTATGTGCGAGCGCACTTATGACAACAGAATGTATATAAAAGCGCTCAGTGACTGCTTCTTGGAAGGAATAAAATAACTTGGAGGGACTCGTATGCCAAGGAGTCGGAAGATGAATGCCCGCCTGTAAGCGTGGCCTTGCTTCATATTTCACAGCGCGGCGGTTCCGCGGCCGGGCAGGTGAGCACGCAGACCGGGACTGTGTGTGTGGAGAACACTCAGTGATGCATCTGGAGTGTCCACTTCATCCTGTGACCACATTCATCCTTGAGTGAAGAGGACGAGCATCACAGTTTTCACCCTTCAACTATCCTTCTGGGGGATGCAGTTTTAGGACTAATCCTATATAATAAAAGCCTAAGTGACCCTTTTGATGGAATGACTGGAATGACGGTTGACAGCTGCTTTAACACGCACTGACCACTAGGGGGAAGACGCTCAACACAGGAGCTGCCCCCTGGTGGTCAGTGAACTCCCACAGCCAACCTCCCATGGCCCCTCCCTCCCCGCTGGCCAACCTCCTGCAGTCCCTCTCCACCCCCAAACAGCCGGCCCTGATAGGCCCCACTTGGGACTGGGTGAGACGCCCTGATCGGCCCCAATCGCCGGCCAGGCAGAGGGACCCCACCGGTGCACCGGGCCTCTAGTCCTATATAATAAAAGCCACATATGCAAATTGTCCAACTGGGAGTTCAACCACTCGCTATGATGTGCGCTGACCACCAGGGGGTGGCGCGGAACATGGTGGGCGTCGGCAGCGCTGGCAGTGGGCGGCCGTGGAGGCGCTGCCGGCCCCAATGGGCCCCAACGAGGGTGGGACCACAGCGGGATGGTGGAGCAGGTGAGCAGGTAGCGCCAGGCCAAGGCGGGGTGCCAGGCGGGGCTGCGGGGCTATGAGGCTGGGGGGCACAAGCTGGGGCCCGATTCCCGCAGGCCACCCTGGGGGATCCCACCCTCTAGTTAAATAGAAAATCGAATAATTATCAGCTACCACTGAATACAGGGGAAATCCATGTTCAGTCTCTATAGTATGTGGTATGTGTTGGGCTCCCTGGAGGTGGGATCCTTAGCTCTGTGTTACAGATGGGGAAACTGAGGCTCTGACAGGCACAGGGACCGGTCCAAGGCCTCAGAATAAACAAGAAAACAGAAATGGGATTGAACGCAAGGACTGGCTAACTTCTAAGTCTGTTCCTTGTGGAAACATCCTCATATCACCGTTTAAAAATGAACTTGTTCTCTTCAAATTGGACTTTAAAAACATGTGATGGCAAAAGTCCCTTTAAGAAGACTTGGAAAGAAAAGCTTCCGTGACAAAAATAGAATCACATTTTAGAAAGCCACTCATTAGGCCATGCTAGGATATATTCGTTAAAATTGTTTGCTCACCTTAGTTTTCTCAGTACCTGCTCATTTTAATTAAAAAAAAAATCTGCCCAAACAGGCCTGAAATTATTCATTTAACTTATTATGGTAACAGCTCAGTGTTTAATATATTTCAACACCTTTCTAAAGCAATGTCTCACTTTGGTGTCTTCCCCTCTCCTTTCTTTTCTACCTAAAATTAGAAGTTGGGTTAAAAGACCTGAAAATGCAGGGTCATGTGGAGGTGGGGTCCTCCTCAAATATTTTATTCCAGTTCCTTGAGTTGATCCCCCCCAATTTTTAAAATTGATTTCAGAGAGGGAGAGAGAGAGAGATAGAAACATCAGTGATGAAACAGGCACATCGATTGGTTGCCTCCTGCATGCACCCTGACCAGGGCCAGGGATCAAGCCAGCAACCGAAGTACCTGCCCTTGACCGGAATTGAACCTGGGACCCTTCAGTCCACAAGCTGACACTATCCACTGAGCCAAACAGGCTAGGGTGATCCCTCCACCCCAATTTTATTGAGGTACAGTTGAAGTATGCTAAATTGTACATTTTAAAAGTGTACAATTTGGCCGAAACCGGTTTGGCTCAGTGGATAGAGGTGACCTGTGGACTGAAGGGTCCTAGGTTCGATTCCGGTCAAGGGCATGTACCTGGGTTGCGGGCACATTCCAGTGGGAGATGTGCAGGAGGCAGCTGATCGATGTTTCTCTCTCATCGATGTTTCTAACTCTCTATCTCTCTCCCTTCCTCTCTGTAAAAAATCAATAAAATATATTTAAAAAAATAAAAGTGTACAATTTGATCATTTATATATATCTATATCAATAACCATCATACACTCAAGGAAAAAAATTCCATCACCCCCGCGCCGCCACCCCCCGCCCCCCCCCCCCCCCCAGCTTCCTTATGCCTCTCTCCCATCTCTAGGTAACCACTGATGGGTCTTTTAATTAGCTGGCATTTTTAAAAAAATATATATTTTATTGATTTTTTACAGAGAGGAAGGGAGAGGGATAGAGAGCTAGAAACATCGATGAGAGAGAAAGATTGATCAGCTGCGTCCTGCACCCCCCCCCCCCCCCCCCCCGGGATGTGCCTGCAACCAAGGCACATGCCCTTGACCGGAATCGAACCTGGGACCCTTCAGTCCGCAGGGCGATGCTCAATCCAGTGAGCCAAACCAGCTAGGGCAGCTGGCATTTTTTATGATTTTATATAAACGAACGCATGCTGTATGTATCCTGCTTTTCCCGGCTTCTTTCACTCACTGTAATGATCTGAGACTCTCACACAGTGTTTTTCCCCATTGATCCCTTCTCGCCCGTCCCCGTGTCCCCGCATCATTTCTTTACCCGCGCACCCACCGATGGACATCTGCATCGTCTCCAGCTTGGGGCTATTGTGAATCAGGCTGCTATGGGCACAGGTGTGCCTCTTTGTGTGGACACAGATTCCACTTCTCCGAGAAGAGGACAGGATGGGTGATATGGTGGGTGAATGCTTAACGTCTCAGAAAACCGTCAGGCTATTCTCCAAGGTGGGCGTGCCAGGTTTGGTCAAGAGAGGTGAGGATTCTTGAAGTTCCGTGGGTCAGGAGGCAGGCCTGGTGGGCGGAGTCAGAGGGAACCTGGCCCTTGGAGCCCAGTGGCTTCTGTAGGAAGAGGGACATGGGGGCGGGGGCACTCACGCCTCTGCCTCGGTGGGAGGTGCCCGTGGGGGGTGCCTTCCGGGGGCTTCCGCTTCACTTTCTCTTTGGGGGGATAGGTGGCCTCTCCAATTGGTCACTACTAGTCACCCGTCGCTATTTGATTTCAATTTAATGTTTCAACTTAAAAATGAAATAAGATTGCCCTAACTGGTTTGGCTCAGCGGATAGAGCGTGGGGCTGCAGGGCCGGGGCCGGCAGGTTCGATTCCCGTCAAGGGCATGTACCTTGGTTGCGTGCATATCCCCAGTAGGGGGCGTGCAGGAGGCAGCTGATAATGTTTCTAACTCTCTATCCCTCTCCCTTCCTCTCTGTAAAAAATCAATAAAATATATTTTAAAAAATAAAATAAATAAAAAATAAAAAGTCAAGTTGGATCTCTAGCTACTGGTCTGGAGGGTTCCCCTAATGAATTAAGCAAGAAAGAAAAAAGTAACTGAGAAATATGATCTCACTTTTGTAAAAGCAAATGACAAATTCATATTTATTTTTTAAATATTTTATTGATTTTTTTACAGAGAGGAAGGAAGAGGGACAGAGAGCTAGAAACATCGATGAGAGAGAAACATCGATAGGCGCCTCCTGCACACTCCCCACTGGGGATGTGCCCTCAACCAAGGCACATGCCCCTGACCAGAATCGAACCCGGGACCCCTGAGTCCGCAGGCCGACGCTCTATCCACTGAGCCAAACTGGCCAGGGCTATTTATTATTATTATTTTTATTTTTTTGAGGCTGACCAGAGATGCCTTTTAGTCCACAGGGAGTTATTCTTTCAGAGTTTGAGAAGGCTTATCAGGAGCTAGGCACACATACACATAACCTTATTCCCTGTCTCTTCTCCCTGTCTTTTCTCCAGGGAATATTTCTGAATATTAGAGACATGGAAAAAAATGACATATTCTCCTTTTCTCTCTCCTCATGTAGGGATTTCACAATTGAACTACAGGGGCCCTATAGAATTCTTTCTCTCTGAGTGATCAACAAGAGGCAAATGTGAGTGTTTTCACCTCAACAAGTGGTTTTAGTTGAATCTCCCAGAAAAAAGAAGGTGATTGAAACCCTCTGCTTTAGGCCCTAAAAAAAAAAAGAGAGGAGAAGAGTGCGGATTGGTTTGGCTGAGTGGATAGAGCATCGGGCCGGGGATTGAAGGGCCTGAGGTTCGAATGCAGGCAAGGATGAGAGAGAGAGAGAGAGAGGGAGAGAGGGAGAGAGAGAGAGAGAGAGAGAGAGAGAGAGAGAGAGAGAGAGCAGGAGGAGCACCGCTGGGGGAGGAGGGAGCGAAGGAGGCGCCGAGGAGGAGCCTGCAGCCAAGGTACATGCCCTTGACCAGAATTGAACTGAGGACCCTTCAGTCCACAGGCTGACACTCTATCCACGGAGTCAAACCAGCTAGGAGAATCCTATATAATAATAGACAAACATGGTAATTAACCATATCTCCACTATGCTTCCCATTGGCTAATCAGCAGGATATGCAAATTAACCGCCAACAAAGATGGTGGCTGGCAGCCATGCAGCTGAAGTGAACATGAGGCTTTTTTGTTCCAGTGATGGAGGAAGCCAAGGTTCCCCACCTGCTGCGGCCCAGCTCTGAGCTCCAGATGCAACAATGTTGCAATTATAGAAGCTAAACAAACCCAGAAACCTGCTTTCAGCTGCCAGCGGGCTCAGAGCTTAGAGCGCCAGTGATGGCAACAGAGTTTCAATTATAGAAGCTAAACAAACCCAAATACCTGCTTTCAGCCAGCCACAGCCTCAAGCTGGAGCCGGCTCTCAGCTCCAGTGACAGCTATAGAAGGTAAATAAATCCCAGGAAAAAAAAAGAAAAGAAAAAAAAAGAGGCTGGGAGCTTCAGTCAACCTCCAGCCTGAAAATGGCCCTCAGCCCCTCACCCAGACTGGCCAGGCACCCCAGTGGAGACCCCCACCCTGAAGGGGGTGTGACCAGCTGCAAACAGCCATCAGCCCATCATCCCGGCTGGCCAGGCACCCAAGCGGGACCCCCACCCTGATCCGGATCACCCTTCAGGGCAAACCAGCTGGCCCCCACCTGTGCACCAGGCCTCTATCCTATATAGTAAAAGGGTAATATGCAAACTGACCCTAACAGCAGAACAACTGGGAATGACTAGTCACTATGACACACACTGACCACCAGGGGGCAGATGCTCAATGCAGGAGCTGCCCTCTGGTGGTCAGGGCGCTCTCACAGCAGGGAGCTCTGCTCAGCCACAAGCCAGGTTGCCAGGTGCCAGTACAGCAGTGGTGGTGGGAGCCTCTCCTGCCTCCTCAGCAG